ACTGACAGGAAGCTGGCGATCAGATTGAGGGACGCGGGCAATTTGCAGATTTCGCTTATGGTGTTTTCAACTGCGGACCCGAAATTCAGGGTGGCCCGGGTCACGACAGGCCGGGGTAACAGATGTCACGGCCACTGACGTGCTGTTGTCCGTAGCGAAGCGTGGCGTCCACGTACTGAAGCAGATTAGGACTGCGCTTCTGGTTGTAGTATCGCGCGGTGCGCCACCTGGAAGGGCTGTCGCATGGCAACCAGCTGAGATCTGGCCATCTGTTGGGGGAGGGGAGGGGGACGAGGCGCCGGCCGACGGGCTGGTCATCAGTGTAAGCGGCGGTGGCACCGGTTCTTGTGCCCCCCCCCCCCCCCATGGCTTCCTCGGCATCAAGGATAGCGTGCACCTGCGCACCGGCGATTGCAAAGTTCGATGGTCTGGAGGCGAAATAAGGCAGTAGTTTGCGATCCTACGCGACACGCCCAAGCTCGGCTCCCTGCGGCCGTTACGGCCGCGGGGCGCTGTGTTGCTACCGCGCCCATTAGCGCTTCATAAAGGGCTGCGCAACAGCGCGCGCTGTATAACTTAACAGGATACAAAAACCATGTGCAGGTCCCAAGAGTTTCTGAGGCTGCGTGACAGGCCATAAAGGCAAGACTGGATTTTTTAGTAATTGTCCCCCATGAAGCAATTTTACCTGTCACTTCCTCTATGTTAGTTTTTGTTCAATCGACTAAATTTAACCTCTGGTATCTCCTCAGGTGTGTGCAATGTTCCAGTGCGTTGTCGTGCGATCGATGTTTCCCATGCTTTCAACATTCTGCGATTTCATAGCAGTGAACTTCAGTAGGGTACTGTGCCTGTGGATTGTGAGGCACGTAAGGCATTAACTTCACGCACATCATCTATCGAATTCGGATCACGCGTGCCCTCAAGTCGGAAGGCGTTTTTCGTCAGAGACAGCGTCTATGTTAAGTTTGCGCAGCACATAATAATATCGATGCAGCATTGTCAATTGATACTGATTCATTTAATGGATATGCTTACTAGCAAGTGACAATATTCACCGTTACACAATTTGCATACTGCTACAGCTATTCAAGTTCCTAAATTTACACCGCTGCATAATAATTTGCTTCCGCCCTGCTCAGACGACGCATGTGTTAAAGGGCCGTCGTGTGGCAATGCTCCACTTTTAGTTCCCCGTCACCATGTGGCGCTCGGCGGCGCTTCTGGAGGGGGCGCCTGGCCTGACCTGTGTGTGTCCTCGCGTTTCCAGGCTGCACGGAGCGGATCGAGGCGCTGCGACCCAAGTCTCCGCCGCCCAAGAGCCGCGGCGGCTACAGCCGTGGCCGGGGACGGGGCGGCCGGTGAGGGCCCGCCGATGGCGCCGCCCGGTCCCGGCCAGGGTAGCGGACGCCCCGCCCGGTGACCGGAAGGGCAGGCCAGCGGCAGCTCCAGCTCGGATCTCTTCTATCGATTGTGATCACGCCCCTGCGCCGACACCCGACCACGCTCGGAGGAGCCTGCACCGGCAGTTGCGTGTCGACGCGGTGGATGTCGCGTTGTGGTCGTTTTGACTATGCGACAGGCTGGTGCAATGCCGGGCGCTGCCATCGCGGCACATCCGCACCACCAACGCGTTGACGGTACGGAAAGGGCACCGCACTCTGGTCATTTACCTAAGATGGAAGACTTTGGTAGACAAATGAATGGTGGCAGTGATTTGCCTACTCAGCTGGGGGCCGTTTGGCTTTCAGCGATTTTGAGTCAGCTTCAAATTCATGAAATTTGAAGGCCACTGAGCATAGTCGCATGCTCTTGGGACGGCAATAGTTTTTCTCCTTTGTATATGACTGGACTTCATAGACGTCAGCAAAATTATTTAAAGTCAGCAGATCGGCCAGGGTGCGATAGCCCTGAGGTTCGCCCCCGCGGGTGCGCCGTTGTCGCCCAGAAGATTTGGGACGTGTGTGAGAGTCGGCTCGAAGATGTTTCATCCTCCAGTCCGCTCGCCTGCCGTTTGGCACTGGTCTTATCGAGCGGCCAAATCTGAGCTGAATTGCATTCTTCCATCGTTCATTGTCTATGAGTTTGTTCATTGCGATCAATTTCACCGTTAATATTTGAACAACTTGACTTATGAGGCTTATGGCCTGGCGTAACGTTAAATGCCTTTTTTATTTCGCGATCGGCCAGTACGAACTGTCAGTGTTTGCGGCCTGACATCTGCTCTCACTGGCCTCCGCGAACGTTTCTTTTTATCGTGCTTTAATGTCGTGACTCGGTTACACACTCCACGCGCTGTTAATCTAGGCTGCGGCGGCCCCGCGCGGCTGCACCTCCTGCGCCCGCGCGCTGGGTCTGGCGCAGCCCGTCGCAATCTGCCATGGCTCTCCCCCGCTTCGTGATGTCTCGTACGCGTTCGCCCATGGGGACGATGGGCGGTATGTTCTGCGTGATGTGCGCCGTCGCAGAGCGTGACACAGCGACTGAGCAGGCCTTCTGCGGGGATGTCCGACGTCATTTTAGGTCAGGTGTGTCATGTGACGTACAATTTGAGACGGTGCGCTGGTTGGGCGCGTAATGTTCCGCGAAGCTGGCATCATGCTTATATACTGGAAATGTCTGGGCGGCGAATGTGGTTTCCGTTGTTCAGTTTGTCACCAGCACGTTGTTGTCGCTGCGTTGCATCCGGAACTCTGTGGCGAAGGGCTGTGGGCTGAGCCAGGGCGTCCACGTGCCCCACGGCACCGTGCTCGGCGTGTGGCCTTGTCGCTGGTATGACGTCAGCACAGACCGAACCGCTACCGTCCCCGGATCCCACCGGTGGCGATGCGTCGCCGGGCTCTGTCAGCTACATGACGCTGCTAGCCTGGGCCGCCGGCACCGAGGCAAACCACCTCCTGACCTGCCGGACCGGCCGGCGCCGAGGCGGACCACCGCAGCCTGACCTGCCGGACCGGCCGGCGCCTGCTGTGCCGGACCGCCGGCGCCGAGGCGGACCACCGCAGCCTGACCTGCTGGACCGGCCGGCGCCTGCTGTGCCGGACCACCGCAGCCTGACCTGCTGGACCGGCCGGCGCCTGCTGTGACGGACCGCCAGCGCCAAGGCGGACCACCGCAGCCTGACCTGCCGGACCGGCCGGCGCCTGCTGTGCCGGACCGCCGGCGCCGAGGCGGACCACCGCAGCCTGACCTGCCGGACCGACCGGCGCCTGCTGTGCCGGACCGCCGGCACCGAGGCGGACCACCGCAGCCTGACCTGCCGGACCGGCCAGCGCCTGCTGTGCCGGACCACCGCAGCCTGACCTGCTGGACCGGCCGGCGCCTGCTGTGGACGGACCGCCGGCGCCGAGGCGGACCACCGCAGCCTGACCTGCCGGACCGGCCGGCGCCTGCTGTGCCGGACCGCCGGCGCCGAGGCGGACCACCGCAGCCTGACCTGCCGGACCGGCCAGCGCCTGCTGTGCCGGACCACCGCAGCCTGACCTGCTGGACCGGCCGGCGCCTGCTGTGACGGACCGCCAGCGCCAAGGCGGACCACAGCAGCCTGTCCTGCCTGGCGGCCGGCGCCTGACCTGCCGACGCTGACAAATGTGTTCGCGTGAAATAAAGAGAGCCGGCCGTATGGCGAGTTAGCGGCGGGCAGTCCGTCTGTCAGTGGAGAGGCGTCTGGAACGTTGATACCGCCTCCCAGCCTAGCTCCCAGCTGAGCGTGCAGGATGACTTGGTGACGTCAGCGTGACGCAATGGATCCTACGGCGGCCCGGGCACGTCTGCCGGCACAAGCTGCGGCGTGACGTCATACACGGCACTCCGGATGTGGTCAGCACGCTCGGCACCGAGGCGGCGCTACGGGCCGCCGTCAGCACGCTCAGCACCGAGGCGGCGCTGCAGGGCTGCCGTCAGCACGCTCAGCACCGAGGCGGCGCTACGGGCCGTCGTCAGCGCGCTCAGTGCTGGGGTGGCGATGCGGGACGTCAACACGCTCAGCGCTGGGGCGGGGATGCCGGACGTCAGCACGCTCGACATGACGCTACGGGCCGCCGTCAGCACGCCCAGCACTGGGGCAGCGATGCGGGCCGTCGTCAGCACGCTCAGTGCTGGGGTGGCGATGCGGGACGTCAACACGCCCAGCGCTGGGGCGGGGATGCGGGATGTCAGCATGCTCGACATGGCGCTACGGGCCGTCGTCAGCACGCCCAGCGCTGACGCGTCGCTACGGGCCGGTGCGGACCGACACCCGGACGAATCCGGTAGGGAGCCGTGCGCCACAACGGAAAAGGGCGCACCGCCTAGACAGGACGAGGGAACACCGTCAGTGCAACAATGACGCTTCCAGTGACAGTTTACTGCAATAAGAGCTCTGCCAGCATCTGGCAGAAAAGACAGGCGGTATTTTACGTGCCTCGATGGCATAGGAATGGAAGCAAGCAGGGATAAATTCTAGCTGGAGCTTAGCAGCTTTTTGCAGATCATTTCGGGCGGATTGATGGAGGGGAGGAGCAGATCGCACCAACAATGGAGGGGAGGAGCAAACACGCACTTGTGGGCAATGCCGGCAAACATTTCGGATCGCATTATGCAGATCTAGGTAAAAAGTGCTTGCGCTGTCTACTACCTTCTAGCTTGTTCTTTCCGAAGGAAAACTCGTGATACTTTACCGCTCTAAAGAAAACAAACGGTTTGCTAACGCATTTATTTCCGTTGTCTGGTACAAAAAGTTGGCAAGGCACCACCGGAGGACCAATCTCCTTTGAATTTAACGATATCTAGAACGAAATGTAAATTCCAGGGCACTCATCCTCGTGCGATCACCATCAACGTAAGGCGTCGTTCAAAAAATACAAGCAACTGCGAGAAAAGTCTCACGATTGAACAATCTCGCACATTTCATCATTCAAAACGCCGGGTACAGCCACACACAACCAGCTGTTTGCTTCTGGAATCGGGCACGGGTCACCGCTGGGCGATTCCCGCAAAGCAGCCCCCCCCCCCCCCCCCCGCCTCCCCACAGCATGCACGGAATAGCCCGGCGCCCCAGCGGCAGCCGGGGGCTTCTCTCGAGCGTCAGGTCGGACAGTCAAACCCGGAGGCAGCTCAAGCCCCATTCACTTTGTTGCGTCCGTTCTCTGCGGGCGGCAGCCTGTCGTACGCCGGGGGCTTCGAGCGTGGCCCCGGGCAAAACTGTGTGGCGCCATTTCATTCTGGAGGCCAATGAAAAATCAATCTGCGGCGGATAATGCTGTACATGACCTGGAAGACTGCAGCTAGACCGTCACAGAGGGCGGGAATTTCGACAGCGGCCTGGCGAAAGTTGAGTAGGCTAAGCTATGTCAGCTGTGAGCCAAGGCAAGTAACCGTCCATAACTGTCGCTAACATTAGATTAAAGGCAAGGGTCCAAAGCCTTGCACGAAAGTGAGTGCTGTACGTAATTCATCTGACGCCCTGGGTACAGGGTATGCCGAAAAACGGCCTGAAATGCACCAAAGTGAACGGGACTTCAGCGTCACGAGCTTACTACCGAGGAACGCTGCCATTGGCGGCCCATCGCCCTCCCTAGCACGCACATCACTCTTACTCTACCACCGTTCGCGCGGCGCCGCGGTCCCCACTGACTAGCCCACTGCGCAAGGCACACATGGCGAAAGACTGGTCCACCTGTGCGCTCCCGCAACCGGTGGAGGGCCGGGCCTCATCACCTCACTTTTGAGCTGGCCCGCTCACCCGGTCGCGACTCACACTGATCACAGCCCCGCCGGCGCGCCCTCCTCCAGCCCCATCGCACGCCGCGGCTGGCCCCGCCCAGCGCCGGCGGGGCGAAAGATAAGCGCGACTGGCCGGCAGGCGTCGCGGAGAATCTCCATGGCAACGCTGGAAGCCGGGACCGCGTAACGCGTCATTCTCACCGCGGAGCGTCCGTGCGATCTTCACTGAGCGAATTAGCAGGCGGAGGGCGGACCGCTGACTTGTACACCGTGAGCGACGTCGTGACCGCCAGCGCCTGTTCGCCAAATGCCCCCAGTCATCTGAGATCACCAGAGCGCCGACGTCGCGCGCGGACTCGCATCGGCCGACGCGCGAGCGCAGCCCGTCGCCACGTCCCGAGCGCCGCCTGCACCACAGCTACTTGCGCCGGCCGCTAGCGTCCACGCTCCCCTAGCCGCTAGCGCGGTCACATGACCTGGAGCACGTAGAGCACGCCGGCGTCGTCGATGGTGACGAGCGTGGTCCAGTCGTCGTCGACGGCCAGCCGCCGCGCCAGCGTGCCGCGGAAGGCAAACACCTGACGCAGCTCGGCGGTGACCCCGCCACCAGCCGGCGGCTCCACCGGACGACCCGACCAGTACGAGAAGTACTGCTTCTCCGGCGGCCGGAGGCGCGGCGAGCCCGGCGCCTGTGCCGACAGGCGGCCGTGCTCAGGCGTGCATTCTGTGGGGAAGGGGGGAGGGTCGAGGTGAGGTGTGAGCCGTGGCACGCACGGCATACCCGGCGACGGGGACCGGACAGCAGTCACGGGCAGCGCAAGGCCAACAGGTCACGCGCGCCAGAGACCGGCACATCGCAGGGACAGTCCACCCGCAAAACGAGGACGCAAACCGAAGCCAGGAATACAATTATGACGAATCCACGTGATCGCTGGTGCACCCTTGTTTTGGGAGGCAGAAAATCCGTAACAATTATCATATGACTTTCCACGAGGACACCACACATCTACGCCTCAGTCAACACGTCAGGCCAGGGCGCGGCGCGTTCATAAACACTGACAGCAGCCGCAGCAGCGTGCACCGCATGCGGCCACATGAAGCCCCGTCGCCACAGCGCCGTGCCCCGGCCCTATGCGCGGCTCACGTTTGTTGGAGAGTCGCCACCAGGCGAGGCAGTCGCCGACGGAGACGATGGTGCGACCGTCGGGCGACACGGCCAGGTCGTGCACCCAGCTCTGGTGCAGCTTCAGCACCAGCGGCGGACACAGGATGTCCGTCCGCGTCACCTGCGGCGGCGGGCGGACGTTAGCACTCGTCGCGCACGCGCAGATCCGGCCACGGCGCGGCGACGAGCACGCGATCCGGCGCCCGTCCCTCCCCTCCCCACCGTTTGGGGGGGGGGGGGGGTGCACATCATCCACCTGCCGCCAGCGGAGGGCAGCTCTGTTTGGCGCACTCACCACCACGTCGCCGTCGTCATGGCCGGTGACCAGCAGCGAGCCGTCCCCGGAGAGCTGGAACGTCCGCACGGGGCCCTGGTCCAGCGTGAACGACTTGACCACGGCGCCCGTCGAGAGCCGCGTCATCTTCACCTTGCCGTCCACGGCTGCCGGCCAGCAGGCGTCCAGTGACCAGCAGGCGGTCGAGAGCCGTCCCATGCGTAGCACGTCATACATCGAATCACGAATACCGGTTCGATTCCTCCAAAGGAAACATCTACTCTCGTCTCGACTCTCACCTAACATGGCGACGCTGCCGACCCGCGGCAGCTAGCTGCAGCGATTAACCCGCCGAGAACTTAACATTGAACAGTGTGGGGGACGAAGCCGCAGGCGCTGCCGGGCGTTCCGCGTTCCGACTGCACGCGCGAGGCCGCCCGGTGAGCTGCGCCCTGCTAGCTACCGTGCCGGACTGCCGTCCTCCCATCAACAGCACGTCCCCGATCCCGAAAACCGCCAGCCCCGCAAAACCACAAACAGGCAAAGGTAGCGGTTTTCCGAACGAGCAATGACGACATGCGATGGCCCTGCCTCCTGGCCGTCTGCGCCAGTCCGGCGGCCTGACCTGCTGTGACCACGACGAGGTCGGGCGGGCAGGGCGACTCGCCCGCGGCCGCTGGTGCCGTTGGCGCGCGCGCCGCCGCCGCCAGCCGCACGATCCGGTAGCAGGTGACCGTCGAGCCCGAGTGCGCCACGTGCGCCGACAGCAGCTTCCCGGAGGCGGCCAGGTACACCTGGCGGCGGGGCGTGCGCCGCGTCACGGGACGGAGCGCCGACGCCGCGGCGGCGGCGGCGAGGGGCGCGCCAGGTCGATCCGAGGTGGCGTCACAGGCTCCGCCTCATCGCCGTCATACAGTGGGCAGGGCAGGCGGCAGAGCACGTGCTCGCGCGGAGGAGGTGTGGCAAACCAGGGCCGCCCTGCGCTACACCAATGGCTCTGCGGAGCACCTGCCACGTTCGTTGTTGCGGCAGGGCGGTGGTCTTCGCCGATATAGACATGCGTAGTCCTGTTTTCCATCTAAGCTTTCGTCTTTCGAGAATGTGGTTACCAACACAATTGTTCGCGGCCGTGATCATGACATTTGGCTTGAGCTCGGGACAGAGCTCATTGTTGTTGGTAACAGGGGAAACCGATATCACATAGATGTTGGACTTTAAGATGCCCTTGTTCCCTGCTCCTCGTTTCCAGAGGATTGGTTCGACACCAGAAATAACACACGACAGGGGCAAAGGGCTTACAAGCGCACGAACGTTGCAATTAAAGGGAGTGTTGCACATTGATATGGGGTTTGAACCGAAATAGCCACCTTGGAGACCTTTCGGTGCTATTCGCATCCTGTCCCTCTTAAGACCTCAGCCCCTGTAGTTCCTGAGCTACACGCCCGCGAAAATAGAGAAAGGTATATCGTGGAGAGTATTCGAGTCACCTTGGCATTCATGACGTCATAAAAGCGTCATTAAAATCCTGCGATTCCGCAAGCCGTGAGGCGACCAAGGACAAAAAATATCATTGTTGATGCGTTTATATCTGACGTTCGTGAGTGCGATTTCCAGATATAACGGCCGTCAGCTGGCCCTCAAGCAATATTATGGACGTCACGATGACGTAACGAAAGCACGTCGCGTTGAGCAGCATATTTACTAAACAGCAACTAAAGTTGCCCACAGCGGTCTTTTCCACTTGAACTAGATCGTGCAGCAGCAGTAAGCCACACGTAACCAAGCTGGGGATAGAAGCGTTAGCCCTTTTCGGAGCGGGGTGATGGACTGCTGGAGTCTGAGCGTGTGCGGGGTGGGTACGGCCGTGGTTGACGGCAGTTCAGCATGGCACCGGCATGGCCCAAACCACTTTTCACAAGCGGAATCGTAAAAAGGTGAAATCTGAATGTTGTGAAAAAAAGGGACTCCCTTAACCATACAGTTTGAAAATTCGCGATTTTTACAGCCCAGCACCCGTATTCATAAGAGGAGACCAATATACGCACATCTCGTTAATGGTATACAAACAAAGCCAGAACAAATATAGCGCTTCAATATGCTGAATCCCACACAGATATTTAGGCGTAGACACAAAACATGAACAAATACACTAAGCAGATCTACGTAGGTCACGATTTCGGAAACACCAGGACACACCACGGCCACAGGCTCAACCAGGAAACACCAGGACACCACACGGCCAGGCTAAACCAGAGTACAATCCAGAAGCTCCACACAAGAACAAGCTCCCACCTGTGAATCAGCTACCATGGGTCAACGCGGCAAGCATGCGATGGTGACCTGAAGCCCGAACCCCCTGGCCCGCCACGCCCCACTCACTTTCGCAATCAAGTTATCAACGCGGAAGAAGGCCAGCACGAGCAGCGCGAGTCCTCGCGCGCCGGGTGGACCCATGCACGGAGTCCTCCTGAAGCAGAGAGACACTGCGGCATCATCCTCCGCCGCAGAGCCACCCCGCCACAGCAGCCAGCATGCCACGGGCTGGGCCTGGCGAGGCGCCCGCCAAGGCCCCGTCCCAGGCGGGCGGCAACGGCGGCATGCAGACGGTGCGCCGCGCGAGGCCGGCTCGGGTACAGGCTAGCGCGGCCACCACAGCCAGCATGCCACGGGCTGGGTCTGACGCGGCGCCAGCCAGGGCCCGTCCCAGGCGGGCGGCACGGAGGCATGCAGACGGTGCACCGCGCGAGGCCGGGTCGTGTACAGGCTAGCGCGGCGCCCCGGGGCGCGAGTCGGGGCGCGGCCGCCTCGGGAGCAGCCGCCACTCGGGCTGCTGTGAGGTTAGCAAGCATGCGAGGTTAGCATGTGAGGTTAGCAAGCATGCGAGGTGAGCTTACCCGAATCGGCAGGGTTAGAGCCGGACACACGCTGAGCCGCCACCACCAACGCTACCTGCGTCGGACGCACGACGCCAGCTCCGACAGATTCGGCGGACGGGGGCACGTCACGTCGCCGCCGCGGCGCCCGGACGCGTCACGCCACTCTCGGGCCTCTGCCGCGTCACAGCCGACCCCACTCACCTGGGCGCTCCCGCCCCGCCCCTCCCTCGCCGCCGCCGGCGTCGGCCGCCGTCTGCCTACCTTCAGCGTGCCGTCGCGGGAGCAGGACACGGCGAGCAGGCCCTCGCTCGAGTCGTACAGGCCCACCTGGGTCACCGCGCCGTCGTTGCCGCTGCACGTGACGTTGGTGCGGGTCGGGCCACCACACCTGCCAGAGGCGAGCGGCGAGGGTCGGAACACACGTGACGTTGGTGCGATCGGGCCACCACACCTGTCAGAGGCGAGCGGCGAGGTCGGAATACACGTGACGTTGGTGCGGTTCGGGCCACCACACCTGCCAGAGGCGAGCGGCGAGGTCGGAATACACGTGACGTTGGTGCGGTCTGGGCCACCACACCTGCCAGAGGCGAGCGGCGAGGTCGGAATACACGTGACGTTGGTGCGTAGCCTACGATGTGCGCTTCCACACGTGACGGCAGCTGCCGGCATTTTACATTCGCCAAAACATGTGTTTCAGTGGATATCGAAGGTGCATGGGTGCCTGGAAAATAATACGTCCCGTGGACGTGAAAACAGCCGAAGCGTTGCAAGAAGGAGATAACTATTACAACACTACAGTAGGTAATGAGGGGGAGGTCATGGGAACAGCCAGCGCACGCAAGTTTCGACCGGAGGCGTGCAGGTGCAAACGCCGGCAGAAGGCGAATACAGGACTGAGGCAGAACGAAGCTGGGCGCGCCCCAGCCAGTTCCACGGGAGGCCGACAGGGAGACAGACTTCAACGAGGCGGCTGTGGGCCATCCCTCGCATGGACTCACAAAGGCGAGAAGGTGGGGGATACCCACTTGCGCCTCACCCAGTCACAGCACATCGACATACTTCCAGCGGCACAATAGTCGTGACATCAACCACGTGCTGGCGTCTCCCTGGCGCAGAACAGACCTGCTTGAGCAGAATAGACTTCGGGGGGGGGGGGGGCAGAACAGAACTCGTTGGACAGGACAGGGACTCGCGGGGGACGACAGGGACCCGGGGGGGGGGGGGAGGGCAGAACGGAGACTCACGAGGGACAGAACAGACTCGCGGGGGCAGGACAGACTCGCCGGACCGCGTCGGACTGGCGGGGGCACGCCCCACCTGCAGCGGCCCCGCGCCAGGCGCGACGGCGCCGCCATCGTCCCCAGGTCCCGCCGGTCGCGCGGCACCCCCACCTTCATGTTCCTGTCCTCTGAGCCGCCCACCTTCATGTTCCTGTCCTCTGAGCCGCTCACCTTTATGTTCCTGTCTGAGCGCTCACCTCATGTTCCTGTCCTCTGAGCCGCTCACCTCATGTTCCCGTCCTCTGAGCCGCTCACCTTCATGTTCCTGTCCTCTGAGCCGCTCACCTTCATGTTCCCGTCCTCTGAGCCGCTCACCTTCATGTTCCCGTCCTCTGAGCCGCTCACCTTCATGTTCCCCTGTCCTCTGAGCCGCTCACCTTCATGTTCCCGTCCTCTGAGCCTCACCTTCATGTTCCCGTCCTCTGAGCCGCTCACCTTCATGTTCCTCCTCTGAGCCGCTCACCTTCATGTTCCCGTCCTCTGAGCCGCTCACCTTCATGTTCCCGTCCTCTGAGCCGCTCACCTTCATGTTCCTGTCCCTGAGCCGCTCACCTTCATGTTCCTGTCCTCTGAGCCGCTCACCTTCATGTTCCCGTCCTCTGAGCCGCTCACCTTCATGTTCCTGTCCTCTGAGCCGCTCACCTTCATGTTCCTGTTCCTCTGAGCCGTCACCTTTCCTGTTCCCGTCACTCTGAGCCGCTCACCTTCATGTTCTGTCCTCTGAGCCGCCTCACCTTCATGTTCCCGTCCTCTGAGCCGCTCACCTTCATGTTCCCGTCCCTCTGAGCCGCTCACCTTCATTTTCCCCGTCCTCTGAGCCGCTCACCTTCATGTCCTGTCTCTGAGCCGCTCACCTTCATGTTCCCGTCCTCTTGAGCCGCTCACCCTTCATGTTCCTGTCCTCTGAGCCGCCACCTTCATGTTCCTGTCCGTGATCGCTCACCTTCATGTTCCTGTCCTCTGAGCCGCTCGCCTTCATGTTCCCCGTCCTCTGAGCCGCTCACCTTCATGTTCCTGTCCTCTGAGCCGCTCACCTCATGTTCCTGTCCGCTGAGCCGCTCACCTTCATGTTCCTGTCCTCTGAGCCGCTCACCTTTATGTTCCTGTCCGCTGAGCCGCTCACCTTCATGTTCCTGTCCTCTGAGCCGCCTCACCTTTATGTTCCTGTCCGCTGATCCGCTCACCTTCATGTTCCTGTCCTCTGAGCCGCTGACGACGGCGCCGTCCGGCCCCGAACTGCAGCGAGATGACGCGCTGGCTGTGCTTGCCGAGGATGTTGGGCTCGGCGCGGCTCGCCGACGCCACCGCGATCTCGTACACGCCTACGGAGCCGTCCTCGCAGCCGAACGCCACCTGCCGGCGCGCGGCGGCCGTGAGCGCCGAGAGAGCGGGCGACAGGGAGGCAGCAGCTGACGGCGAGATTGCTCACGGCAGAGGACTGAGAGGACGGCTGGGGGGGGGGGGGAGGGTCTGGGAGAAGAGAGGCGGGCGTGACATGGAAGGCGGGTGTAGGGTGGAAGATGCTGACGGCAAATATTGGAGCATCGTAAGCGTCCTCATGCACTACACTCGCTCGCAGCCATTGTCGTCCGCTCTAACCGATGAATCTTCGTTGGGAACTGTTCAAAGTTCTTTCATCGACCATGGCCAATGAACTCACTCAACACTCGAAGATCCCAGAACCAACTAAACCTCAGTCAAAAGCGGCCTGATAAGTCGGTTGATCGAAAGCCATGTACCTGATGTCTGTGCCGCACAAGGGCACAAAAGACACGCGCAACATTTCGACTTTGTAAAGCGCAGAGACAAATGCCGGTCGGAGATCACTAATCGCACCATAGTTCCGGCTTGGTTGATCTCCGTGATGCAGATCTTCTCCCCCACGGGCTTCGTCGTGGTCACAATGGTGCCATCGAGTCCTCTGAGGACCTGGAACAGCGGAACACTGCATCAGCGGACGACGCTCCTCAACAGACGAGTCGTTCTGCGCCCATGCCGCGACGGCAACGCAGCACACAGAACGCAGATATCACGATATCACACGAGCATCAGAGACCAGCCATGAAGCCGACCACCAAACTGACAGCGCGCGGAGCCAAACTGAGCGTGGACTGCATAATTCGGCGCGAATTTTAATCCCAAGAAACCATGCATCGCAAGCAAATACACAGCTGTCAACTTTTAACAACGTAGCCAAATTTGCAGTGCATCATCGGTTTTATACATGCGCAAGAAATTGACTGCGTTTATAGCGGCTACGCTAGCAAAGTAAATTCAACCAGCCCCTAAGTCCTGCTCTTAGTGGGGAGCTGGTTAACATGCATGCAGTAAACCAATACCAATGAGCAGTGTCGAAGCTAGCTAAGAGGCCGTGCTAATGTGCAAGAGCGTGCGAAGAGGAACAACAAGAACAGCATGCACATGCCGTGATGCCACCTCAGCCATCGCTGAGGCCCTACCAGGCCCTCAGGCCCTATCTCACAACGTCGGACGCGGCGGCAAGCCGCAGCCGCCGCCGTCGCCTAGCAACCAGCCAACAACTACACTCTCCGCGAGCCCTGTAAAACGACAGGAGCGTGATCCGAGCTACGAGGCGGCCTCACAGCCGGAGCTAGCGGCGCACCGAGCAGCGCACGAGCTCCACAGACAGAGAGTGAGAGCCAGAGAGAGAGGCAGAGAGGGCGGGAGCGGCAGGCGCCGAGGCGCGCCGCCCGGGCGGTATCGGCCAGCCCGTGGCCCGTGCAGCCCGGCAGGACGTACCCATTAGCTCACGGTCCAACTGGCCCTGCAAACCCGAGAGGCGGGCGTCACGGCTGACGAAGCTCACTGCCGGACGGCGGCGGAGGCGGACCAGGCGACACGGACGCCGCATGAGGACAGACCGCGGGGGTGAAGTCGGCGGCGCGCGGCGCACATCACCGCACCGCCAGGTTAGCACGACACATTGTGAAGCGTCAGTCGAAGGATGCACTTTTATAGAAATGCGCCGAAGGCGAGCGTGATGAAGGGCGTCTGAGTGGCGCCATTTTGACCGCACAGGGGTGAGTTTGTCCCAAAGGTGTCACGCAAGGACACTGCTGTGCAGCACGAGTCACAGAAGAGCACCTCGGCCCGGAAAAAGGTCGCCACGGGAAGGCGTGCAGCTGCACACGCCGGCCGGTGACGGTGCCCTCGTACTGCGCACATCGTTCTGGGGCGCCCCAATGGACCGAGTGCTGTACAAAACCCTTAAAGTGCAGCCAAGATCGGCTGCGGACGCTTTCCTCGCGCGCCAACCCGGCCGGGACGTCTCAATACAGCATCGATCGAAGGACACTTCACGACAAAGATTTCCACGAGAGGAAGGGGCTCAGGCACAAGGCAGTGCTTCCTCACAGCAGCTGGCGGGAATGGACATCCTTGCACTGAAGAAGCTAAGCGTGCCGAGTCGCAGCACAAGTCATACATGCACGCTTTCATACCGCTGAAGTCCTTCAGGGACGCATCCGTACAGAAGGGGTCCACCACAGCACGCCGAAGTACGTTGGCTGCGCCTATGCGCAACACACGCGAGGACGTGAACGGCGAATAGTCACGCAGCGCCACGAACGTCACGCCCAAGTCACAGGTGGAGACCAGCAGGACGCCCAGGCCAAGCAGTGAGAGGGTGCTCACCGCCACAGCAGCCAGACAAACCAAGCAGGAGACGGCCACCGCACGTCGGCCGGACAGTTCCGAAGAACAAGTGACAGGGGGTCGCAGCGGGGCCAGACGCGTTCGGTCCGAGCCGACGTCAACAACGACGGCCACACCGACGATCACCTGAGCAGCGTCGGCTCTCGCCGCGTCTGCCGTCCGCTCTGGCCGGTCATCGACCCCGTCCACCCACGCGGCATCACCCGACAGTAGCAGGCGACAAGAGAACCCGACCCGACCGGCAGGCAGCAAGACACGAGTGTCACCCCTCTATCGCGCCGAAGCGCCGACTCCTGCCGTCGCCGCGGCACGGTCCCGCTCGGCCGCGGTCATGCCACGACCGCATCCCGCGGCCTGTCGGCTACGGTTACCGCCAGCTTCCCGGCAGTCACGTAAGGACGCCGCCCACAACGGCGGTCTCTCCCCGTGCCGCATGCTTTCTGTACCGTTCTCGTGGCAAGAGGCTCTAGGTACATAAGGACTTGCGAAACTCATCGGCAATACTGACTGCACCCGATCCGAGTGCTTGTAGCGTCTTCCAGCCGTTGCAAGCACTAACGTTGAGAAATCCACACGCTCACAGCCCGGACTAAACAAAACCTAGTTGCTCTAAATGACACGGTTAGATCAGACCCCACAACAAACTACCCTCTGACGAACTACCTCTACACCGCAGCGACTTACAACGCAAACCTCCGGCGCGCAGCCGAGTCCTTGTCTCCTGCTCTACACCAGACCACACCTATCCGGTCCAAGCGGTGAGCGAGCCCCCAGCTCTGGCCCGGCTGCTGGGCCCGGACTGCTCCTCTGGGCACACGTTCTCGTCGCGGTCAGTTAGTGGACGCCCGCCCACTGCACCCACCGGCGCACCGGCCGACCCCGCCGCGTCCCGCAGGCGGTTAGTGGACCCCACAGCCGGCTCGCTCGGGCAGCGGACAGTTATGTTCCGTCATTGTTATTCATTACTGTCCCGTCGGACGCGCCGTCGCCGGCGGCGGCGTCAGCGGCGCACATGCGTCCGGGGCGGCCATTGCAAGCGGCGGCGGCAGCGGCGGGCGGTGGGGGGAGCCAAGGGCTCACCTGGACGCCGTTGTTGGACGTGATGGCGGCGACGACCAGCGAGCTCGGGTCGGGCGAGGCGAACCGCGCCGAGAACAGCGGCTGCAGGCTGTCCTCCACCTTGGGCGTCCTGGTGAGGCTGCACGAGGTGACCATGTCGCCGGCGCCCGCCAGCAGCCGCTCGCCGTCGTGGGAGAACACCAGTGAGGTCACCGACCTGTGGCCGCCGGCGGCCGGTCAGCTGAGGGACGCGAGCCAGCCACCGGACAGCCAGTCGAAGCGTTTGTAGCGGGGAGCGCCGCCACACCACCAGAGAAGCCATGGCAAGCATCGCCTGTGTCAGGGTTTTGAGAGACTCGAAAGCAGAGGCTTAAGACAGTTCTAAATTCCCTGCATCAGGCCAGCCGTCTCCATGAATCAGCCTCCATCAAAGCCATGAACTTTGTACCATATGTGATCAGACCCAAGAGCGGACAACACGATCATAAATCAAACACATCTATGTGCAGTCATAACGTCCCTGACCAGTAGCTACGTCACGCTGACCTAACGCGGGACACAAACATGCACAAAACGACGCAAAAAACTAACACACCAGTCCCTGGTGAAGCACAAATACTGTACTCAGACAGCAACCACTTTAATTTCCCCGAGGCGTTCCGACCACCGACAGCCAGTCTCTCCTGCCCGGCCCGCCGCCGCCGGCCAGCCCAGGCGACCGAGCGACGCCGGGCCGTCTGACTCCACCCGGCGAAGCCGCGCTGTGTCGAGATGACGCGCCCGCTCCAACAGGTCCCAGGTCTCGTACATGTTGGACGAGGTGCCCACCACCAGCTGGCCGCTGGTCGCGGCTGAGGCGCGAGCACAGGTACAGGTCGTGCTCGTTCGGCGCCCTGCATTCTTGACTTCCACGTAGTCGCGACTCGGCCGCCGGCTCGTGTCCCACACCCAGCAGAAGATCTCGTTATCAGCCACAGAGACGATCGAGTTGTTGTCTGCAACGTCGGCGGGCGGCCGGGACACCGGTCAGACGCTGTCTGGCAGCTGCCTGACACAGGTGGCGTCAGCAGCGCCGGCGGGCGGCCGGGACACCGGTGAGGTGCTGTCTGGAAGCTGCCTGACACAGATGGTGTCTGCAGCGCCGGGGGCGACCGGGACAGGTGAGGTGCTGTATGGCAGCTGCCTGACACAGGCGGTGTCTGCAGCGTGGTGTCATCTGCGACTCGGAAGACCGTGCCGTCTGATGTTTGTAAGAGGCCCGATCATGCCGTCCGCTACAGCACAACGCCTCATCTGAAGCCCCGACTGGACTACCGCTGCCTACAACACGCGAGAGCAGCTGGCCACAACAGCGACGGACCATGACAAGCCCACCCAAAACCGCCTCCCCTCGTCCGGTGGGCCACACGCCTCACCTTTACTCAGGCTGAGCGAGGATGACCCGCAGGTGGTGCTGGCTGAAGGTGTACAGCAGGGAGGCGTCGCGCGTGCTCCACAGCCGGACGCGGCCGTCGGCGGCGGCCCGTGGCGAAGTAGGTGCTGTCCGGCGAGAAGGTTGCAGCACGTGATGTGGCCGTTGTGAGCCTTCTCCTTCTCGAACAGCGGACCTCCCAGGACGTCCCACAGCTGTGGGGGAGCGGCGGCCGGTGCCGGTGAGCACTGGCAGGCGGGCGCGGCACACGCGATGTCGCAACAGCAGCTTCTCGGTGTAACACATGGCTACAAGGATTGTCTGACAAGTGGTCTGTGAGGGCGCGACGCCCGCCTGCGCCATTTGGGACAACAGTAAACGTTTACGTGAGCGGAAGACCACCAACACCAACGCATTTCAATCGAGTGAGCCATGACAATGTGTTAACGCTATTTGTGATATACTGTCTGTAAACAAGCATCTTCTTGCAAATTGCAGGTGTGACCTATACCGTTGTTACGTGCATATAGTGTCATTGTTACCATTAAATGTCAACGCGAAAAACCTTGATGCTTTACATAACCATCCCCAGCAGACACCCCGTGCCCCGTTATTGGAAGTGGGTGCCTCAGACTCTGCAGCACCAGTGAGGCGTCCAGCACGGTTGTTAGGACCAGCGAAAATAGTGACAGCTGTGACCGACCCGGTCCGCTACGGTCGGCATGACGTCAGCGTTCCACAGGGGTTCGCTCGGTCCGTGGTCTCGCTTGCAGTGGGGAAGCAAATAGACAGCAAAATGTCGACCCTTTATCGGGGCAAGCCGCTCCTTTTTGTTCCGGCCCTTGGTACCGCATATCACCTCAGAGCACTAGCACAGGCGATACCAAAGTGCACCTCCTACCAGCATCCCCGCATCTGCCGCCACCGGATTAGCACCCAGCCGCCCTCGCCCCGCGCCGGCCGGGACGCCTGAGCGCGCTGGCCGGCCGCTGCCGCGGCGCAGCAGCACCGCCCCCGCCGATCACCTTGAACGTGCCCTCGACGTCGCCGGAGAGCAGGTGGGCGCCGTCGGGCGACCAGTCGACGCACAGCACGGCCGCCCGGTGGCCGCGCAGCGTCAGCAGGCTGTCGTCGCGCGGCGCTGCCTCCGGGAACAGGAACGCGCCCGACGAGGGACGCACGCGCGGCGACGGCGACCGCTGGCCGGAGGACACTGCGGGCGCCGGGCGCCGGGTCAGCGGGCACGGCCGGGGCGCGGGCGAGCGGGCGCCGGCCGGCCGGGGCGTCGGCGCGCCACCCCGGCCGGCGGCGTCGTCGCTGTACGCAGCTCCCGCGGCGCGTGGCGGCGTGTCGTGCAGGCGGATTGAATGCCATCCGTGCAACGTGGAGAGGCTGCCACGTCACACATGGCGGCGCAAGCGGCGGCGAGGACAACGCCGCTCGCTCCAAGCAGTGCCCACGTGCGCGTGTCACGCGTCGCCGCAGGCGTCAGACATCACAGACGGCGCATGGAGCCGGAGCATCCGCGTACTCGCGAAACACGGTGTGGGTTACGCTGACGTAGTTGTGTTGTGCTGGTCAGGTCATGGTGGTGCCGTCACCGCAAACCGTATGCCGTGAGCACAACATGGAGGTACCGTGCCGTTAGTGCCACTCAAGCATGCCACCGTCACGCACCATGCCGTATCCCCTACCACCCCGAATACCAAAACCACCTCAACCAACCACTCGGTCGGTGCCTTCCTCTCAAACCCCTTCCTCTCTCCCCCAGCGACTGCACCCCACCGCTCTGCCCGCCCCCGCCCCGCCCAAGCCGCATGCCTTGTCAGTGCCGGCCCGGACGCCACCGCCACCGCATACCGTCGTGCTCGTCAGTACCGTACGCGGCACGCACGGCCGCCTCCAGGTCCCAGATCTTGAGCGTCTGGTCGTCGCTGGCCGAGACGAACCGCGAGCCGTCCGGACTGACAGTCAGCTGCTGCACGCGCTCCGTGTGGCCGTAGAACGACGGGTGCTCGTCCCCCGTCACCACTTCCACAGCTGGCCGGCGGGCACGAGGGTCACGAAGGTCACGGAGGCGACCGGTGGACGGTGCCTCGATCGAACTTGCCACTCGCGCCCAGGCCGCCAAAGGCGGCTGCTCGGCGCGTCCCCGCCTTTTTGTCCCCGCTAATTGGCACTTCATTTCGTCGTTTTGCACACGATGCGACACACTATGAAACGTATATCGAAGACAAACAAAAACTGACATCGCGCACACCAGTCCAGAACGCTCATCTGTCGCCAATACGACCACAGCCAGTCAGTGGCCGGGGCTCGCGGCGCAGGACGGCGATGGCGGCGGTCAGCTAACGCCCAGCAGGCGGCGCCCGTCCGCCGACTGACCTTGATGTGACCGTCGCCGTAGGCCGTCAGCGCCAGGTTGTCCTGAGCCAGCGTGAACACGACGTCGCAGACCGGACCCGAGAACACCTTGGTCAGCAGCACGTGGGACCAGCGCATCGCCTCCTTATTGCTGAAACGCAAGAGCACCGGCATCGAGGAACGCACATTGTCTATGTCTCAGACCACACTTTTGCACACCGGGGTTGACACAATGAAAGGCTGGGCGCAAGCACAAGGTCAGTTCCAGGCTACCGCTGTCGCACAGGCCTTTGCTAGGGGCCGCCAGGGCCCGGGACTAGCAGCACCCCAGGAGCGGGGAGCGTCGCCCGCCGCCCAACTCACCACCACCGGAAGAAGAGCTGGTCGCCGGCTGTCCGCGCCACCCTGCTGGCGGCTTCGTAGACGGCCGAGACGTCGCGCTCGCAAAGCGCCAGCTGCACCACGGCTGCGCTGGGGTCGCGGACGGCGCTGGGCGGCAGCGGGCAAGCGCCGGCAGCCGGTGTCCGGCCGTGCGCACGAAGTTCTCAAAGTCGCGCCGTCGTGAGTCTTTCCCGCCCTGAGGGTGGGGGAGGAGGAGGCAGTCAGGCAAAGGAGATGGTGTGCAACAGCCCTTCGGGACAACGGCATCCCAAGTGATGGTCACGGTTACGCAGGGCGGCGACAGGACGCGAAGTCCACAACTGGACGGCGCACGGCAGTCGGAAGAAAACGCCAAAAGCCACAGCCGCGCGACACGTCAACCAGTACGTGACGCCCGGCTGTCCGCGCAGACACCGTCTCACACCGCGCCGCAGCGAGCGTCCCCGCACTCTCAGGCACGCCGACCGACGGGCTGGCCGCACGACCCACCCGCGCGCGCTCACCTGGTCCAGGAAGGCGGCGTACTTCCGGTAGTCGTTGAGCAGGTCGCTCGGTCCAGTCGCACGCAGCTTGTGCCCACGAACGCCAGGCTGAAGTAGAGGCTCGGGAAGAGCTCGTAGCGGCCGGCTCCGTGCACGTGGTGGCCGATGAACCAGAGGATGTACTCATCGTCGGGCAGCCGGCCCGTAGTCGCCGCCGCACGCCTCCAGGTAGCGGTCCAGCAGCAGGGCGTGCAGCTCCCGCTTCTGGGGGGAGAGAGCGCGGCCGACCGGTCTCCAGTCAGGGCCGGCGCGCTCACGGCGCGACATGGGCGCACACAGAGAGTGGCTGGTGAATCAGCGACGGGGGACGATCCGCGTTTGGAGACGTCCCTTGAGGACACTGATTGCACGCCAGGTCCAGATTCGACAGCATGTCGGTTTATGCCGGCGCGCCGCCCACCCGAACAGCCCGCGCCACGTTTGGGCGTAAGGGAAGCTATTACGCAATCATGGGTGTTAAGGAAAGCTACGCATTGCAGACAGTACTTCGATTCGCAACATTTTTGCGTGTGACTCACCTCATCCGGCGTGTACTTTTTGGTCATGTAGTCGATGACAAGGTCATGCATGCTGTATGACACTGTGTCGAGTTTTGAGTCCTCCATCTCCTGGACCAGTGACTTCTTGACCAGGTACAGCATGCAGTCATCCACGTCGTCGGCGGTCATTTTCCAGTAGGTGCACAGCACCTGCAAGCAGGGAAGCCAATGCAAAATAGCGCTAACTATCCCACAGCTGATTAAACGTACGTGCCGCTGAATGAAACAGCTAAACACAGTAGGTTACGGCCAACACGGGAGACCATGTTACATGTGTGGCCCAGAAGGTAATGTTGCATGTGGGGTCAGTGGGGCCGGCAGTGCAGCAGCCCATGAAACGGGCAATGGCCTTCTTGTACTGCGTCACAAGCAGCAGAGCACGGAACGTGGCGCCGTTTCTGTTTCGTTACCTACTTGCCCTGCGCGGGCGACTAAAACCCAGCCACGAAAACTGGCTCGCACTCGCACGCAAACGGCGATTCTAAGTTCCGCAAGAGTGTTCCAGGACAGACCGCCCGCTCCAACTCCACAGAGCCGACGCCGACCATCCCCGTCTTCAGCGCTTCGCTTACCCTCTCGCAGTGAGCGGCGGCGCGTCCTGCTCATCTGGCGGGGAATGTTGATGTCGGCCCCGAACACCGACCATCCCCGTCCCAGCGCTTCACTTACCCTCTCGCAGTGAGCGGCGGCGCGTCCTGCTCACCTGGCGGGGAATGTTGATGTCGGCCCCGAACACCGACCATCCCCGTCCCAGCGCTTCACTTACCCCCTCACAGTGAGCGGCGGCGCGTCCTGCTCACCTGGCGGGGAATGTTGATGTCGGCCCCGAACACGGCTAGGCGGCGGAAATACTCGGCGTGCTCGTCGTCCAGACTGTTGACGCTCAGCTCGATGGCGTCGGTGACGTTCTCGTGCGCGCTGGACTGCATCCGCAGCTTCCTGAGAAGGCGGCGGCCGCGTCCGGTCCAGTGGCGAGACTCACCTCTCCGCATTATCATTTTTGAAATAACTAGCCTAAGTTTAAAGCAACGTTTCAGTTGGGATGCTATAATTCAAATAGTATCATCATGACAGCGTCTTATATGCACCACCTGTGTGTGTGTGTGTGTGTTGTGTGTGTGTGTGTGTATGTGTGTGTGTGTGTGTGTGTGTGTGTGTGTGTGTGTGTGTGTGTGTGTGTGTGCGTGGTGCGTGCGTGCGTGCGTGCGTGCGGCGTGCGTGCGTGCGTGCGTGCGTGCGTGCGTGCGTTGCGTGCGTGCTGCGTGCGTGCGTGCGTGCTTGCGTGCGTGCGTGCGTGCGTGTGTGTGTGTCATTGGGCTTTACGACGCACCCAGCTGCTGAGGCCATATGGCCCCGCCCACCCCTCCACCTTGGCAGGAAGTGCGGGCACCGCGGGGAGTCGAACTCCGGTCCCCTAGTTTCCCAGGACGCGCAATAGTCAACGCACATGCCTTAAACCATTACATCAGATGCGTTTAAACCCACACCATCGGCACCGCCTGGGTAGCTCATCCATTATCTGAAGTTTGTCATATTCCTACAAAAAAAGATCAAAAGGATCATTTTCAAAAAACATCTCAAGCGCAACGCTCCCTCGTCAAGAAGCACTCTGCAGAGGAGACGCCCCAGTCAAGAGTTCGTCAGAAGCTCGCGGCAGCCTTGCAGCCACGGCCGGCGGGTGCGGACGGAACAGCCGCCGCCCCCGTCCCCGGTGCCACTCACTCGTAGTTGGCCGACCTCAGGTTATCGAGGCACTTCTGCCAGCGGTCGCGCGATTCGCGGTGTCCGCCGCTTGCCCGCCAGGTACGAGCCACAGCAGCGGCGATCACCAATGGGCACGCCGCCGCAGCGCCGGTGGATGTCGCTCGCCTCGCGAGGCAGGTCTTGCTTCGGATGTCCCCAGACGCTTTGGCAAACAGCTCCTGCGACTCGGCTAGGCTGAAACCGTCCTTCATCTGTCGGGCATCGGCGGCGGCATACAGCCGGGGCCGGCAGCGCGCCGGCTCCACGGATTCGCGCTGTTCCGGTCTGGCGGAGGCGCCGTCTGTTCGGTTCGAACTGGCCAAGCGCTCGGCGTCGGCAATCAGTATCAAAGCGCGAGGTTCGGTACTCAGCTGACGCCCACAAGGGACCTTATACAGACCTTATGCCACGACCCTTATACAGAGCAACCGGTCCTCTAACATCACAACGAAACGCGACGACCAACCCGCGAAAAGACGGCCAACGACAACCCAGGCCCCGCCCACCAACCGCCCCGCTAAGCACAACCACGCGGGCCACGGTGCGACGGCCACAAAGCCGGACGCCCCACCGCGCGCGACGCTCGCGCCCTCACCTGCACCATGGCGGCGCGACCCTCGAACCGCTCCACGAGCGCGGCGTCGCGCGTGGTCACCAGCACGCTCGCGCCCAGGTCGAACACGGCCAGCACGTCCGGCTTCCAGACGTCGTCCAGCACCAGCAGGCAGTTGCGCAGTGCCGGCTGGTTGAGCAGCTTGCGCAGCTTCTCCACGGCGATCTCGATGGTGGGCGGCAAGCAGCGCCGTGGCCCTGGTCATCCGACAACCCGCTCGCACAGCGCCTGCACCTTGTTGATGAGCACGTCCGTGTCGGCCTGACCGACGCTCACCCAGAACACGCCGCCCGGGAAATGGCTGAACACCAACTCGGCGTCTCGCAGCGCGTGATTGACGCACACCGACTTGCCGATGCCGGCCATGCCGTGCACGGCCAGGAAGCGGCCCTCCTTGAGCTCGCGCAGCCCGGCGCGCACCGCCTCCGTGTAGACTTGCCGCGGGACATGGACGGCCGGCAGGGTGGGCACGGCACCGGCGCGCATCACGTTATTCAGCTCGTCGGCCGCCGACGTCGACGACGAGTCGTTGAGCTCGTTCAGCTGCGACTCGAGCTCGTCGGCCAGCCAGGAGTTGTTGGGCCGCAGCGCCTCCACCACCTCCTCGAATGCCTGCGGTCCGCGCTGCGGCAGCAGCGTCAGCAGCGCCGCCACTCGCTCCTTGCGCGTCTCCTGCCGGCGGAGCGGAGGCGTGAGCGGCGAGCAAGGCGGGCGCGACAGGCAGTGGACGAAGGTGCAGCGCGGTCGATCAGGGGTGGCAGCAGAGTCAGGGCTTCCACAGCGCGTCCCAACAACCACGACCCTAGCGACCAGCACGCTGAGGACATCGAATGGGGGAAGCGTTGTGGTAAATTCGTAGCGAGGGGGGAGGGGGAGGGGCAGCGGAGTCCCAAGGCCATGGGTAATGACGGTGCACAGTGCCAGTGCTGCTGCTGCCGCTGCTACCACGTCGCACCTTCTCAAAATCACAAAAGACAGCGAGGCAAAATAACAAGTCACAACTGGACAGGGCATGGCCAGCATCATAGCTCACAGTGCCCACGCCTCCCACGACCAGCACAACCCAACTACTTTAACGCCGCGAGCCTGAGCCATCAGTCGGCCATCAATGCTGGCCCGCCACTATCTCCGTTTGACCGGTGTTTCCATCTCCACAGGATTCGTCCAACCCCTCCCCCCCCCTCCGCTCTCGCGACCCATACTGCTACGTCCTCCCGCACACCACCACCTCCACATCCGCTCTGGACTGCCAACGCCAAGATGCCGTCCAACCTCCGCACGTGTGTCGGCCGACGCGGTGGCCGCCGTGGGCCGCGAGCACACCTTAGCCTTAATGACGTCATAGTCATCGTGGTTAATAATCATCCTTGGGAGAGCAGGTGGTCCAGCACGTCGCCACCGTCCAGGTCTTGAGCAGCTTGGAGCGGGCGCGAGTCAGGGCTCGCTTCTGTCGCTCCCTCCATGGCGACGGTGCGCGGAGCCTGCAGTGAGGAGGGTGGTTCAGACAGGGCGACAGCAGCGAGGACGGCGGTCAGACAGGGCGACAGGGCAACGAGGAGGGCGGTCAGACAGGGTGACGACAGTGAGGAGGGCAGTCAGACACGGCGACGGCGACGAGGAGGGCGGTCACGCCCACTCTTCATAGACCATGAGTGCAGGTCCCCCGACAGCCGTAACTACAACCTGGCAATCAATTCGATTTGATAATGCCAGATTACCTGTGTCTGACCAGTCAGCTGAATAACTAGTATTCCAGCAAGCTTATACGGTACAGCTCTCTCCGCTGTTGTGTGAAATACCTCTGGTAATCCAATACCAAGCGACGCTAACCATTGGCGCCACATAAAAATGCAGTGGATCAAACAATGACCAAACAATGACAAAACATTCTTAAGAACGGACTGTCGTATACATAGTGTGATGACACTCGGGTGAATCCGTTGACAGGCCATTTCCTCGAGGTTTCATTTCTTATCGTTATCTGGCGCGCCGCCGACGCTCGTGAGGCACTTGCAACTCCTGAACTCAGAGAGCGTCTGACAAGCCTGCCTCTTTGATTGATAATCAATATCCGTCCAACAACACCGTAATCAACGCTCAGCGCCCTGGGCGTCCGACCCACAACACCACCTAACACACCGCCTCACGCTGGCCGTGCGAGCGCGTCCGGCCGACGATCGGTACCAGGCGAACCTCACCGCGTCCGCGACCGTCGCGGCCCCAGACCGCGGTGCGCGCCGCGCTCCCTCGGCAGGGGTCCTCTCACGTGCGTCTCGCACGCGCGGCCTCGCTGGCTGCCTCATCGGGGCCAGGAGACCGGGGAGGCACCAAGCGATGGCTTGCCGGGACGCCACGCCGGCTCACAGCTGTCCGGAATGGGGCGACCGACCGGCGCGGCGCTCCAAACAAAAAGGCGGAGTCTCATCCGGCCTGACCGGCGCGTCGGCGCAGCACGCCGAACCTCCATGGCCAATGCAAAACGAAACGCAGCGCCCCCGAGTCCATGGCAAAGGCGGGACTTCCATCCCGTTCTCCGTGTGAGGACCGTGGTCCAAATCCTTCGTCCGCCCAGGCCACGGCGTCCAAACATAGCCGTCGGGCCATGCGTCAGCACGGGGACTTTCCAAAACCACCGGCCAGGGCCCGGGCGGAGACGGCTGATTTGCCACGCTCATCGCTGGCGAGCCCGAAGGGCACGCACCCCATGCGGCATTCCTCGGCAGCGGCTCAAACTCCCCAATCTCCTGACACCAGAAGCTCTCCCTGCCGGCGACAGATCCAGCCGATCGCCCCCAGCCAGCACGGGGCGGCGCGGTGCACCTCACAGCGCGCCGGCTCCAACTTGCGCCCGGCCCAGCCCGGTGGCACACGACCAGCGGCGGTCCGGCCACGCATCCGGCCGGCGCCATGAGTCACGCCCGCGCCGCGCGCCGGGCCAGCTAACGCTCGCTGCCGGCGGCGGGCGGCGGGCGGCGGAGACGCCCGCGTGCCGGCACTGCTCTGCTGGGTGAGGCGGGCCACGGTCTGGGCCACCAGCGGCAGCCGGACGTGGTGTCCTGCCCCCCCCCCCCCCTCCGCTAGCATGGCGCCGTGAGCGATCCCGGCCCGACGGCATGGCGGGCGGACATTGCATACCGGCATACGTGCTCCTTGGGCCAGCGCGGTTTGAGCGACAGCCCCTCCCCGCCGCAAAAAACGGCGCGTAGCGGGGCCGTTCAATGTCGAACGCAAAAAACGGTCCGCCGCTGGGTGCTGGAACGGGTCCACTGGACGCCAGCGGGGGAGGGGAGGGGAGGGGAGTCAAGGCAACCGGCGGCGGCCGCCAGGAAACGTCCGCCAAACACCAGCTCCCAGGTGGGTGACGACCTCGGGCGGCCGCCGTCCGCCGACAAGACGACCGCAACACCGGGCCATCAGTCGACGATTTCGAGGCGGCTCGCGGCTACACAGCGCAGATCACCACTCGCAGGTGGTGGTGCAGCCGCCGTTCCGCTCCGGCCAGCGCACGCTCCGCCGCCGGGAGTGGCGGCTCAGCGCGCCGCCGGCTCGGGGCACGGCGCCGTGTCGCGTCCAGCCGCTGGTGTCGAGGCCCGCCTGCTGACGCGCGCGACGTGCGCCACTGTATCGGCTCCCACTGCAGGTGGCTGGCCGCGACACGTCTGGACATGATTCAACAAGTCGGCGCAAGCCTAACCCTCCCTCTCGGCCTGCTGGCACTGGGCCAGGAGGGGGCGCGCTGAACCCACCGCCTGCCTCCAGTGGACCGACTCCGCAAATGCCCTACTTTAGTATCAGCCAGGCCTATCATGTCGTTTAGCCAATGAGTACGAGTACCTGCCCACTGCAACTGCATGCGTCATCACAAACGTGCCTGCGCAAACAGCAGGGAATTGCATGCGCATTAGGGAAGGGCAGGGGAATTTAAATTTGTTTTCACGAATGACCATGCAGAGGTCATTTGCCGGTCGTAGGCAATCCCTGACTGCAGCCGTCGCTCTCCCTGCCACGCGCCACGCCGGCGTGGACCAGTTGGTTACAGTGGCTTAACGCCATCCGCCTCTTATCGGCCGTAGGCGCTCAGCAGAGGGCCGCACGCGGAGGTGAAGCGAGGCACGGCCAGCACAGCAGCCGGACAAGGCCGACGGCTCCGGTTCGCCAGGTGGTCACCCAGCCAGGCGTCTCCCTCCCCGCTGACTCAGTCCGCGTCACAGCCACTAGCGCGGCGCCGGCGGTGAGATGACCCCCGAATCGCGGGGCACCCGCTCCCCCCGCCTCCCGGCGCTTGGATAAGATACGATATCGCGCGGCGGGACGCCAGCAATCTTGGTCGCCGGCGGCGGTGGCGGTCGCCGGCTGCTCTCAAACCGCACACTCACCGCGAACAGCCGCCTGCAGTGCATTCACAGCCGGACCGGCGAACAGCAGCGGAGTACGCTTGCACGGCGCGCATCGCCATCGCGACACCCGCCGCTCCGCGGTACATTACGCCGGACGCTCGGACGGTTGGGGGGAGGGGGGGGGGGGGGGCAAGGCGCAGCCGTGACGCGACCGTCGGAAGATTGGCGTCTGCGGTGGTTTGCGTATTCAGTTGCGGTACACCGCAGAGCTTGGCCTCGCAATGACACGCGGATCGACCTGCGCCTCCACCGGACGGCGAAACCGTGCGGATCGATACAATGACGCACATCGAGACGCCAGTCGCCATAGGCACGATTCAGATATCACTTAAGCATTGCCGCGGACGCCCTTATCTGCGAGATGAGGGACCAGGTTCGCCAGCTGTTCTTCACGCAAAGGTCCGCTCGGGACGGGAAAAGGTAAAGCCAGCTGGCGAAACCAATTGCGGGTTACCAATATCAATCGACACTTGACTGGAAGCCGCGATCGTCAGCGGCAGACACGCCGGCGTCAGCACCACCACGTCCGAAATGTACGGGGCTGGGCCCAACAAAAAACTCGCACACCGAAGCAGAGCTGAACTGCATCCCGTCATAGGTCGACGAGAGACGGCCCGACGGTCGTTTCACGGCAGCTCCGACTCGTGTTCCTCCCCCCCTCCCTCCCCCCCCCCCACACACAAGCTTTATAGCAAACAGATGACAGGCGCGCTGATTCGCGTCCGCCGCTAAACTGCGCCACGCATTCGTCACCACCTCTCCGCAACGACCGGCGCGGTACGGGTCTGCCGCGTCCGCCGCTAACCTGCGCCACGCATTCGTCACCACCTCTCCGCAACAACCGGCGCGGTACGGGTCTGTCGCGTCCGTCGCCAAACTGCGCCACGCATTCGTCACCACCTCTCCGCAATAACCGGCGCGGCACGGGTCTGCCGCGTCCGCCGGAGAGCTGCGCAAACCCCCGGCTCGCGCCAGGTGTGGCACGCGCCGCTGGTCGTCGCCCGCCGACGAGAGCGTCACACACGGCCCGCGCCTGGGCGGCCGTCACAGCTGCGCCGCCGACGTCGGCGCTGAGACAATGTCGGCGACGGAAACCGCGCTACAAGCCACGGCACCGAGGCGACGGGGCGGGGCAGGGGAGGTGTGACGCCGCGGGCAACGCATGCCGAGCGGGGTCACAAAGCAGGAGAGTGGTGGCGACAAGACACGTCACGGTTTGGACGGGTGGGTGTGGAGACGTTCAGCCTGAGGGAAACGGACAGCGCACGGCTCACGTCCATCACAGCCAACCAAGGCAGCCTAGTCACCTGACAACACGACTGAGATTGTACCGTGTATGGTGTGCCCCAACAGCAGCGGTTTGACAACTAGAACAAAGGCTCCCTGCATACGATGTGGCTTGTGAGCCCCTCATCCCAACACCGGCACCTGCTACACGGTATGGCTGAGGCACGCTACCCTCTGAGAGACGCCGTCTGAGTCAACTGAGCAATCACTTCGAGGCTGATAAACCAGCACAGTACGCTCTTAGTCACATCTACGACACATGAGCACGGCATTCTGGTCATGCCATCGCAGCTAACGTCTGTGTGCTCTTTGACAGAAGTTTGAACTCGAGTTGAGTCAGCCCCTTCACCAATGGCTCCTGGGTAGCGGATGCCGCCCGACCAGAGGTGGCGCGACCCCGCAGTGACCCTGGACGTTAGCCCGGGTCGCTGCCTCCTCATCGCCACATCTTGACCCGATCCCAGGTGATGTCCAAAGTCCCAAATGTCCACGGCATCACCCAGACCGGTGCAGTAGACCTGACGGGTCGTCGCTCACCAGGTACATCCCCTGGGGCCCGGAGCCATTCGGGGCCCGCCGCAGAGGAGCGGGTGGCGTCATTAAGAGCTCGCGTGTGCGGTTACGAGCTTGCATGGGTGATTCAGAGTTATCGTCCACTAAAGCGCGCTGGGCCACATCACG